TTATCCAGTGGAGAGATCCTTTCATCCAAACACGACCGCGCTTCCTTTCCACTGGCTCACCTGGACGGAGAATTTATTGCGACAAGTAACCATTACTGGTATTGGTCAGCTCAAATTCTGTAAGAAGTTGATAAGGATTTTCATCTCAGGTATATTTTGTGATAAACCTCTGAGCCAAGGTGGGTCGTTTGAGTGGGAGTACCCGACAGGAGGTCCGTCGCGCGGCGAGAGGACAGAAACGCAGACGGGTCGACGGACGAGTTGCAGCGCGCGCTGTGCGATGTGGGACGTACTACAGCACCCTATTTTACTTGACGCTGAATCGCTACAGTTTTCTGGACTCGTCTGCGTTTCTGCCTTCTCGCCGAGCGACGGGCCTGACGGGTACCCCTGATGTGATGCAGTGCTGAACTAATCAATACTCATCAAATATACAGAATGCTTAATCTTGTGTTGCTCTAGGAGTCAAGTGCTAGTGCCGTAACTGAATTTCTAACAACAACCGACACTGTGGGATGTGTTGATTGCGATCCACGGAGGCGTAGTTGACTCCGTCGACATCCCGCCAATCCCAAGCCATTGGCAGGTCATCGAAGTCGTAATCTCGCAGCTCATAGACACGGTGGCTATGCCTAGAAAAAATTTAATATTGTGTCATAAGGGCTTTACACGTTCGAGAGAGCCGCTCCATGCTAGACTCGGAAGCGGAACGCGATTGATGCGCGTAACTTTGCTCCATTCGCAATTTAGGGTGAGTCACGTCTCGAAGAAATTTGGCTTATGTGAACCCTCAGCCAGCGCTATTACAGCCCCCACAGTACTGCCTCCTTCACGTTTGAAACGATTTCGTGGCCGCTTCACTACGGTTTTCCAGGTCCCACTCTTGCAGGATAAACCACGACTAATACCGAGGGTCATTCGCCGAGTGTGACATCGGCCTAAGAATTCCTCGTCATTCTTATTCGCTTCGGTGGGCAGAGAGAGATTATTCCCACAAGTGGAAATGATTATTCTCATTATGTAAGTGGTGTTATCTCTTTCGAAGAGGGCATTAGCGATTTGGGTCGTACTCATAGAAGGGGGATTGGCCAAAAATTGCCTGACACCTGATCCACCCGCCTAAAAAACAGTTTGGCTGAAAATGTCCGACCGAGCAGGAAGGGTTACGTTCATAGTACTTGCATACTGAAGTAAAAGCAGCGGAAACTTCCATAAACAAAATTGCTGTGGAATGCTCATTTCCAGTGACTTTCTCGCAAGTCATTGTATGCCTTATCGCATTCAAACGCAACTGCGAATGTACAAATGGAAGTAGAATGCGTGGGAATGTAGAATGCGATGCCAACAAGGGATTGATCAACGGCAAA